GTTGGGAAAGAACATTGTGTATGTGATGGACTGCCAGAATGAACAAATTGATCTTGAAAGAAGTATACTTAGAAATAAGAGTACTCCTGACCCAATAATTCCCTTATTGACCCACAGCGCTATGGGAGGCAGCACCAGAGACACAGTATGAGAATTGTGCCTTGTCTGACCCCCACACACACCAGGGTGTAACACAGCAACAAAGTCCCGGAGGAATTCTGAAAATAGACTTTGGACTTGGGGGCAGGGCGTGGCACTGCATCAAACCCAATCAGAAAGTATTCATAAGGGTCAGCAGACAGACCTAGAACTATTCATAGCTATTTTTTGGTTTGTTTTTCTTTTTTTTTTTAATGTCTCTCTATATAAGGTAGGCAGGATGACCAATCCTGAGGAGGAAATGGGACCGACGTTTCTGGGGGGACAGGGTCGAGGAAGAGGTGGGGGAAAGGGAGCAGGGAGCCAACAAACTCAGGGACAAGGGAACAACAGAGATCTGAAGTCGATGATAAGGAGGACATAGAATGCCTGGTGGGGCTCTATCAAGTGCAATGTAGCTGGGAGAGAGCAGAGAGCCGAATGAAGGTCAAACGTGATAGTGGGACAGGAGGAAAGTAAAAGGAAATAGAGCAAAGCGCTAGGAGGCAAAAGACATCTATAGAGGCATAAACATAGGCATTTACATATATAAATATATAACAATAGGGATATAGGTCTATGTACATATGTTTATAGGTTAAGTATTAAGGTAGCAGACAGACATTAGGCCTCTACTCGAGTGCTCCCTCAAAGCAAGAACACTTTGTTCTAACTATCTGGGCTTCTGTGATGCTCACCTTCCCAACACAATCACCTAAGTCAAAATGGGTGCATAAGCTAATGTGGTGAAGAAAACTGATGGTGCCCCACTATTACAGCGTCTGGGGTCTTAAAGACTTGAAATTAAACAGCCATCTAGCAAGGAAGCAACAAAGCCCACATGGAAGAACCACACCAGCCTGTGTGATCACAAGGTGTCAACAGGATCAGGTTGACCCAAAACAAACAACCATTTTGGTGCGGACATAGGGGGTTGGAATGGAGACCCAAAGCCCATCTGTAGACAATTGGACATCCCCTCACAAGGAAGGAACAAGCCATTCAGGGTGCAGTATATCCCTCATGAAACACACAAATTTCTCTAGTTCTTTAATGCTTCCTCCCCAACCCCCACCCTCACTATCATAACCCCAGTTCTATCTTACAAATCTGGCTAGACCAGAGCATGTCCACTGGTACAGATAAGAGCTCTCCACACCCAGAAGCCAGGACAGATAAACCCCTCAGGACCATTCATGAGAGTAGCAACATCATGAGGGGAAGGGTAAGGGGAGGGGAGAAGGGGGAGCCAATCACAATGATTGATGTACAATTCCCCCCACCCCAGGGGGACGAACAGCAGAAATGTGAGTGAAGGGAGACAGCGACAGTGTAAACTATGGAAATAAAAATAATTTATAAATGATCAAGGGTTCACGAGGATGAGAGGGAGGGGGCAAAAGAGGAGCTGATACCAAGGGCTTAAGCAGAAAGAAACTGCTTTGAAAATGATAATGGCAACATATGTACAAATGTGCTTGATACAATTGATGTATGGATTGTTATAAGATCTGTAAGAGCCCCCAATAAACGTATTTATTAAAATTTTTAAAATAAAATAAGAGTACTCCTTAAAAGTGAGGATAGCAAGACTTTCTCTCATTTGGGACATATTATCAAGAGGACCCAGTCACTAGAGAAGCCCATCATGGTTGGTAAAATAGAGAATCAGCGATAAAAGAGAGGAAGCTCCTCAAGGAGATGGGTTAGCACAGTGTCTACCACAATGGGCGTGCACATAGCACCAGTTGTGACGATAGTTCATAACTGTTTCATTCAGCGCATAGGGTCATATTATGAGTTGTATCCAGTCAACAGCACCTACAACAATAACAACATACATAGAGATAGAGCCATATTCCTATACCCTTAGATGTGCGCACATACAGAATTCCATGTGGCTCTGCAAGCAATGGTATAGATCTGTAGTAACTGGTCTGGAAATAAGTCCCATGATATACTATTGAGCGGGAGGAGGAGTAATGCAGTTCCATGCCATGCAGTCCATACTGACCCATCGTGACCCTATTGGACAGGGTAGAACTGCCCCTGTGAGTTTCTAAGGCTGAAAATCTTTACAGGAGTAGAAAAATTCATCTTCTTCCACAGAGCAGCTGGTGGATTCTAACAGCTGACCTTGTGATGTGTAACCACTACACCACTTGTAATGCACAGTAAAAATTAAAAAAATTATAATAAACAAATTCACTCATGGTTCACCAGGCTCAAGAATAAAGATCAGCTAAATTAGGATAAAACTGTAAATTTGATTTTCAAAGTGCATATCCCCAGGTGTCCGCCTAGATCAATTGAATCCATAGCTCAGGAAAGTAATTTAGGTAATTCTGATGCACAGCTTCATTTTGACTTACCAACAGTAGCGCCAGATGAAGAAGTGATAGAATCGGGTAACCTAATTGCTATATGGGATGAAAAAGGGAAGCATCATCCATTAAAAAAAAAAAATTGCCCTTGAGCACAAGTACAGAGTGCTGTGAGGGGCCCAAACAGATACAAACAAGTATATTTCTTTGGCATTGTGGATCAGAAGAATGTCACTAGCTCTTTAAATCCAAGTACCAAGTTAACACTGGGTAAACAGGACAAATGTCAAACGCCATTTTTCCAGAGGCAATAAGTTTTGATTGGGACAGAACAGAGTGAAAAATTCGCATTTTAATTAGGCCTCACTGAATGGACAAATTTGAATGCTCTTTCTAATAACCTGTAACCTGAGGGGATTTCGTTCTATCTACTAGGTCCCCGTTTCTGATGCCGTGCCGACGAAGAAAAACTTAGTCACACAGGAAAGCATTGGACCACTTGAGAAGAAGGCCCTGGCACAGGAATGCCTGCCAGGTACCTCCAGACTCACTCCAGAAATGCCTTAACCAGACTCCGTCTTAAGAATCAGCTGGACCGACTTAGTGAACTTTGAAACCCCAGAAGTTGCTCCTAGCACACCTTTGGACTCTCTATCTTTCTATTTGATTTTCAGAAGCGAAGTGATGTTTCCTTCAAAGTTACAAGGCAAGAGAACAGCCAGCTGGAAGAGTTCTCCCTTTGAACTGGCAACTTCCAGCGAAACCAGTACCAAGGGCTGTGGAAAGAAGTCTCTGCAGACTCTCCAGCCCTGATCCTGCCCTGATAGCCACAAAAGACCGTAACCATGTGAACATTGTGGTAGGATAAATAAGTTCAGAATAGGGAATTTTCAAAACCAGTGAACCTTTTCCTCTTTGTTTTGGCCTTTTTTTTTTTTTTCAGTCCGCACTGTGAAAATATCCATCTCCTGTATCCAGGCCTTGTGTTTAGCTACACTGTGCGATCTGAGTGCCCTTGTGTCATAACAGGGATTTCGAAACAGCGCCAGTGTTTCCAGATAACATTTGAGCAAATAGCACCTATATACTGGTGACTGCCTGAATGATAAGCATATGTATTTTAGGTGAAATTCGCTGAACATAAAGTTAACAGTTTTCAAGTATATCATTCAATGCTATTTAGTTCACTCACAATGTGGAAGCACCATTTTTGTCTATTTCAAAACTGTTTTCATTACCCTCAGAGTGCCATGTATTCATTAAGTTCTTATCCATTCCGCTCCCCACCCCCTACCCCCACACACCCCTCCCCCAGATCCCACAGTCTGGCAGCCACCCATCCTTATTTCTATGAGTTTCTTATTTTGGATACGTCACACCTGTGAAATCATGTAATATGTGACCTGTGTCTGCTTTCCTGCACCTTTTTTTTTTTTGAGTACTTATTTTCCGTTTTCCTCAGTATATGCCTAGGAGTGAAATTGATGGGTTATATAGTAATCCGTGTGTGACTTGTTCAGGAATTGTGAAACTATTTACCCCCAAAGCTGCATCATTCAGAATTCTTTGTTTCAGACTTGGAGCTCCTTGCTTAACACTTCTCTTTGGACACCATAACTTAAACCATAACTTATTCACCTAGGGGTTTGGCCATTAGCCCGTTCATCTCGCAGTCTTCCCATCTCACTAAGATCAAATCTGTTTCTTAAAATCACAGACCAAAATCATAGGGTCTGTCGGCTTTCCAGTTGAAGTTGGATGAAACTCAACCACTTCTCACCTCCCCCACTGGCAGAGCCTTTGCCCAAGTCTCAATCATCTTTTGCCTAAATGATTGCTATGGCTTCTTATATGCTATCTCTTCTGCCTTTGCCCTCCTACAGTCTAGCCTCAATACTGAAACAGAGGATGCTGGTAAAACTGAAGTCTGACCATATCGAGGGGATGGCTTCTCATCTCAGGCACAAAAGTAGGCAGGGCCCTTACTGTGTTCTACATGACCATATGGGATCCTGGTTCCTGATGATTTTTTCTGATATTCATATTGTTCTGTCCATGCTAGCCACGCTGATCTCTTGTTCTTCAAGACACCAGACACAATCTCCTGCACCACCCGTTCCCCCTCTCACTGCTTGAAATTAACTCCTACTCTACATTCTTGCATATTATCCCTTTCTTCAGGTCTTTATTCAAAAGCCATCTTGTTGACACAACTCCATGAATATATTAGACCATAGAAGTGTCTACTTTAAATGTGCAAATTGTACAATGTGTGAGTTTTATCCCAAACTGCTAAAATGTATCTATGCAAAAAATATACACTAATGAAAGAAAAAAAAACCTTTTCTCAACCAGAGGTATCATTAGGATTAATACCCACCAGTAACTTGTGGTGTCACCACCCCCCATGGACCTCCTCTTGTTCCAAAATCCTTAGAAACATTACTAACACAGTAATGTCTCTCTGACCAAGAGACTGGAAGAAAGTGAACTGAGAAAGCTTCACTTTGGTTGATGAATCAAGGAGACGGCTGGGACTAGAGTCACCAAGACAAGCCCCCTAAAAAAGGCAGAGGGGGATTGTCACTTTTATTCATAGGCATTAGGAAATACATTGAGGGGATTATAACTGTGTAACAGATTTCCAAGAAATGGTCATAAATATTCACTGGGGTGGGGTTGTGAATCACAGCTAGCAAGTGGCTTCTGGGACTCTTGTTTGGTAAGTGTTGTCCAGGTTGGTCTGGTCACATCAGCCCAGCAACCTTTTGTTCCTTGACAAAGTTCCAGGGTCAGCTGTAAGTTTCAACTGTCCTTTCTTCATATGTGTGGCAGACCAGGTCTGATGATAAACAGTGCTTGCTTGCTGTGGGGGGGAAGCTTTCCCAGGAAGAAAAGGGCTCAAAGACAAACAGGAAGGCAAGAATGCAGATTAATTGTAGACTGTCTGTGAGGTAGATATTTCAATAGCTCGTGACAATGTCTTATACCCAAAGGGTAACTACATTCAGCAGCCGCAGAGTTTATAATACTGCACAGGACTAAGTGGGTTGGGCGCGTATCTCACTCACTCCTCTCAAACAGAACCCCCAGGGAAAGGGACGGAGGTCATCCTTCTGTAACTACTTCCAGCTGAATAGGGACGTTGCTCTGAAATTGGGGCTCAAGTTCACATTGCCAGGGAAGAGGAGCAACGGCCTAGAAACACTGTTGGTGCACCATCTATGAAGTAGAGCTCTGTATTCTTGAAGATATAGATTTAACAATCAGATTAAAAAGACAAGTTCCAAAAACTAAAAGTAAAAATATTGTTGCAACGGGTCCTATCAGAGGGAGGAACCAGCTAAATGTAGGTAGGGCTTCTTTAATGTAATTCCAAATATCTTGACTTCCTTTTTGTCGGTTGAATTCATGTAGCCAATCAGCAGCCTGATAAATTTTCTTAACATTCATCTCGACGATCCCAGATGAGTTGATGTAGACGCAGCAGGAAGTGTTGGCTATTGCGCAGACACCACCTTGTTCTGCCAATAAAAAATCTAAAGCGATTCTGTTATCCAAAACCACGTTGGCAAGAGAATCTAAACTGCGCTGTTGAGACTCAATGGCTTTACCTGTAGACATTGCAATGTTTCTGACAACTTGGGTTAAATTCCTCAGAGTTGCTTCATGATAAGCAAAGCCACCCCATGGGGCGAGGAACCCAATGGCTGCCCCAATGCCTGCCAAAATGAGCCCCAAGGCTCGCTTAGATCTACCGTGGCCAAAGTATTTGGTTCTGTAGATTTGAATAGCAGAGCTTGAAAAGCCAAAATAACCTAGAGTACATTCCCCTTGGTGGAGCCAGGGAGCTAGACAAAAGGTGGCTCTCACTTGATCGGAGGTTATAGGTGTAGAATTAGAACTCATTGGTAAAGGATTACTTCCGCAAATCCAAATAAAGCCTTTTGGAGCACAAAGAACTTGAGGCGGTGTCAGAGTAGCTAGGGATTGGTTAGCGTGATTCAGCCAAACATTGGTGGTTCGCTTGCCTCCGGAGAATGGAAGCATGCCAACAGGGTAGGGGTGAGAGTAAAGTAAACAAGCTGGGTGGGCATCATCACCTGCAGGACACCATTTACTGGCTTGGGCCATTGCAGGATGGTGATTAGGGACTAAGGACCAGGAGGATGTACAGGGGACAGCTAGTCTGCATATGGATTCTTTAGAAGTCGGAGTGCAAGGCCAACCTGGATCCATTGTGATGTCGTCAGGGTTACAAGCATAGCAACAAATTCGTTTATAGTCAGGTTCACATCCTTCATCTTTGCTTGAGGTCACTGTGAGGGTTTTCACATCAATACCCATCCATTTGAGCTTGCGGTGCTGATCTTTTGGTATTCCATACGGGAGCCATTTAGTGCAGCTATGATTGTCAGAGATTGTGTAATTATAATAGTCTGTGATATTAAAACTGTATGAGATGTTGGAACCAGAAGCCAGAAAAGCAGTGTATGTGATGGGGTTCCAGTTCTCTTGGACTGTCACATTGGGAACATCTGTGTAATTGGATGTAGGCTGAAGTTGCAGGCCTCCCTCTTTCTGTGTCCCAGGGGACTGGTGACAAATCCAACAATCTTGCAATTTTTCTCCTCTGGCAATAATATCAGAAATTCTTAAAAGACTGTTGGTAGTCCACTGGGCATTTCCAGGGCCCCAATAAAAAGTTGCCATTAAATAAACTATTAAAGACATCATTTTAGACATCATACACACTCAACTCAGATCTAACCGATGAGTACAGGGATAAAGTCCAAAGGAGACGAGACGCCAGATCCCAAACCAGTAAAACACTATAGAGAAAAGAGCACAGATAACTGAAGATAACCGCAACGTCCTCCTGAGACTGTCACTTCACTGCGCACTGTGTCTTGAACAGCCACTTGAGGTCTCTGGGTTTTTCAGCCTCCCAGTTGTCAGAATTTGGGGTGGTCTGTTGGGCTGGCTCAGGGGCTGGCTTGATAGGGGCTTGATGGATCCGACTTCCTCAGTGCTGGGTGTTACTGCAGTGGAGGTTGACATCAACACTTCAAAGGGAAGTTTCCGCTTTTCTTCAAGGGTGTCCGAGTTCCACTCTTTCCCAGACACCCCCTGTCCAGGACTGGTGGTGTGTAGAGGAACTTCTGGTGACAAAATCATTTGATTAGTAGATGCAGCACACCTGTGGATGCAGCATACCCAAGGGTCTGGCCCAAACATGTAACTATTTTCACGGAATAATAATCCTTGTTCTTGAATGGAACTGGCTCTTAAATTATTAGTAAAGTTCTTTTTCCCCTAAGTCTTTCATAGTACAATTGCATAGGATGGGTTAGCTCTATGTTATCACAAAAAGACTTACCTCATACTTGTTTTTAGGAGCAATATGGATTTTGAAGAGTCAAAGAGAGGACTTTTGTGCAAACCAGTTTGGGGGTTTTTTTTTTTTTTGGCATAGCTTGGCTCTATGTCTTTTTATGGTCTTACTCACGCTCTCCTACCACATGTCTGTCAGTGTGTCATACTGAAGTGATTTGTTTGCTTCTGTGATTCTAGAAGCTGTGTCACTGGTATTTCAAATGCCAGCAGGATCACCCAAGTGAAAAGTTTTCAATGGAGCGTACAGGCTAAGAACAGACTACGAAGACGGACTCAGCTGTCCACTACGGAGGAAGTAGCCACTAAACAATCTTGTGTGTAGCATGGAAACATCATTAGATACTGAAGGCTAATGATTGGAAGCAGAACCTTGTCAGATGTAGTGGGAGCGGATGGACACTTCTCAGAAGGCGCTGGAAATGTGGCTGAGGAGCTGACGTCTCAAAATCCAGCTGACCATGGTGGCATGAATGGAATAATGCCAGTGCAAGTAAAGCCTTCAAGATAACCATTTGCTGATGGGATGACTCAAAATGAGAAGAATCAGCTGCAAAAAGGCTAATAATCAGGACTTGGATTGTACCATGTATAACTCTAGGAAAACTGTAAATCATCAAAAATGGAAAGGAATGCATAACGATTGATTTTCTAGGCATTAGTGAGCTGTTATGGATGGTATTGGGCATTTTGAATCAGAAAATTCTTTGGTTTATTATTCTAGGAATGACACAATCCAAAGGAATGGCTTTGCAGTCATTATCAAAAGGTATATTACAAGATCTATCTTGAAGTGGCATTGCTACCCTGTGATAGGAGTATAACTATTCCCATTCAAGGAAAGTCAATCAATACAACCACTATTCAAATGTATTCACCAAACACCAAAGTTAACGATGAAGAAATTGAGGAATTCAACGAATGTCTTCAGTTGGAAATTGCTCAAGTATGCACTCAATAAGCATTGATAAAATAGTAGTGAATGGAATGTAAAAAGTGGAAACAAGAAGCAACATTACTTAAAAAATATGGACTTGGCAATAGAAAAGAAGCTGGAGATCACATGATAGAATTTTGCAAGCCCAACAACTTGTTCATAGTAAATGTCTTTTTTCAACAGCACAAAAGATACACATGGACTTCTCCAGATTTAATACACAGAAATCAAATTGACCACATCTGTAGAAAGAGAAGAGGGGGAAAAAACTCAATATCAGCAGCTTAAACCAGGTCTAGGACTGACAGTGGAACAGACCATCAGTTACTAATATGTAAGTTCAGGTTGAAACTGAAGAAAATTAAAACGGGTCCACAAGAGCCAAAATATGACTTTGAGTCTGTCCCACCTGAATTTCGAGAACATCTCAAGAAGAGTTTTGACACATTGAACACTAATGACAGCAGACCTGATGAATTGTAGGAGGACACCAAGACCATCATTCATGAAGAAAGCAAAGGGTCATTGAAAAGAGAAGAACAACAAGATCAAAGTGAATGTCAGAAGAGGCTGAAATTTGATCTTAATAATAGAGTTGCTAAGGCACATGGAAAAATTATGAAGTCAGAGCGCTGAACTGAAATTTTCAAAGGGAAACTCAAGAAGGCTAAGTCAAATAATTATAATGAAATGTGCAAAGACCCAGAGTTAAGACAAACAAAAGGGAAGAACACACATAGTATATCTTAAACTGAAAGAACTGAAGAAAAAAATCCAGCTTTGAGTTTCCAATATTGAAGCATTCTATAGGCAAAATATTGAATGATGCAGGAGGCATCAAAAGAAGATGGAAAGAATACAGTCACTGCACCAAAAAGACCTGGTCAACATTGTCCATTTCAAGAGGTAGCATATGAACAAGAACCAATGGTGCTGAAGGAAGAAGTTCAAGCTGCACTGAAAGGAATAGGCAAAAACAAGGCTCTAGGAATTGATGGAATATCAAATGAAATGTTTCAAAAAGCTGATTAAGTGCTAGAAGCACTTACTCATCTATTTCAGGAAATTTGTAAGGCCAAATTGACCAGTTGACTGCAAGAGATCCATATTTGTGCTCATTGCAAAGAAAAGTTGCCCAACAGAATGCTCAACCTATAGAACAGTATCACATATCACATGCAAGTACAATTTTGCTGAACAACAGTTGCAGTAGCACAGTGATAGTACATTAACAGGGAGCTGCCAGAGGATCAGGCCTGATTCAGAAGAGGATGTGGATAAAGGGATATCCTTACTGATGTTAAGTGCATCTTGGTTCAAAGCAAAGAATACCAGAAAGGTGTTTACTTGTGTTTTATCAACTATGCCATGGCATTCTACTGTGTGTATTATGATAAACTGTGAATCACCTTAAGAAGAATGAGCATTCCAGAACACAATGAAATGTTCATGTAGAATTGTACATGGATCAAGAGCAGCAGTTCTCAACCTGTGGGTCATGACCCTTTTGGGAATCAAACGACCCTTTCACAGGGGCTGCCCAAATCATAACAGTAGCAAAATTACAGTTATGAAGTAGCAACGAAAATAACTTTATGGTAGAGGGGTCACCACAACATGAGGAACTGTATTAAAGGGTCACGGCATGAGGAAGGTTGAGAACCACTGATCAAGAGGCAGTTGTGTGAACAGAACAAGGGACTATTTGCATGATTTAAATTCAGAAAAGGCATGCGACAGGGCTGTATCCTTTCACCATACTGATTCATTTTGTATGCTGGATTATAATCATCAGAAAAGCTGAGTTATAGGAAGAAGAATGTGGCATCAGGATTGGAGGAAGGTTTAATTACCTGCAATATGTAGATGACACAACCTCATTTGCTGAAAGTGAGAAGGACTTGCACTCACTGATGAAGATGAAGGATTGCAGCCTTCTTTATGAATTAGGACTCAACAAAAAGAAGACCAAAATTTTCACCACTGGTGTGGGAGTTACATAATCTGGTGTCAATTTGGAACTTGAGAGGATTAAGAGTGAAGGAGTGGAGTCTACTCTGTCAATTGGAGCCTTCCCCTAAGGATTCTGGGATTTCCTTCTTGGACAGGAGTCTCTCTCTCTCTCTCTCTCTCTCTCTCTCTCACTCACTCACTCTCTCTCTCTTTGCTCACTCCCGGAGAGATGCTTTATTGACAAGACACATGGCACTACTCTCATAGACCCCCATGCCCTGGGAACTGGAGGAGCCAAGTGGAGACTCCTGCCACTGCTGAGATGTTTCTACTGCCACTGGATCCACAAGCCTTTGCACCCACTGGCCTGTGATTGCCTTGCATTCAGCATCATTGCATGTGTTTCATGATTCTGAAGACTTTATAGATTGGTATCAGACATATTGGCTAATATCGGACTTATGGACTTGATCTGAACTGGGGTGAGATGTTTTCTCAATATACAATCGCTCTTGTATATAAAACTTCTTCTTGTACACATATGAGTGTCTATGAATTTGTTTCTCTAGTCTACCTGGACTAACACAACTGACCAAATGGTAATATCATGATAAATCGAGAAAAACTGAAATTGTGAACAATTTTGTCTTGCTTGGATCCACAATCAATGCTTATGAAGAAGCACTCGAGATCAAAAGATGTGTTACATTGGGTAAATCTGTTGCACAAGACCTTTTTAAAGTGTTGAAATCCTACTTTTGTTACCTGGCCCTGGCATGTGAAAGTTGAGCCAACAGAAGAAACCAAGGAAGACAGAAGAAGAATCGATGTGTTGAATTGTCGTGCTGGTGAAGAATATTGAAAGTACCATGGACTTCCTAAAGAACAGATCTGTCTTGGAAGAAGTATGGCCAGAATGCTCCCTGGAGGCAAGGATGGCGAGACTTCGTCTCAGATTTGGACATGCCATCAGAAGAGACCAGACCCTGGAGAAGGACACCATGCTTGGCAAAGTGGAGGAGCAGTGAAAAAGAGGAAGTCCCTCAAAAAGGTGGCTGGACCCAATGGCTGAGCCAGTTGGCTCAAGCATAGAACAATTGTGAGGATGGAGCAGGACCAGCAGGTGTTTGTGTGTGTGCATAGGGTTGCTATGGATTGGAACGGACTCAATGGTACGTAACAGACATTCATGCCCTCTGCCTTTCCACTATACTGAGCCCTCCAGGAACAATGGAAGTGACACTTGATACCAAATGGTGTGTCAATAGTTTATTAGTTTGTCAACATAAAATGAGTCTCATTGTCCCTTTGGATGAATTGGGGGATAAAGCTAAAATGAGGAATGATGTCTTCAAGTGGCTTTTAACCATTTCTGTAGCTTTTTCTGAGCATCAGAGAAAGGCTTCTATCCTGCCACTAACGATCTCAACAAAAACCAAGGGATACCTAAACGTTTGGGGTACTCATGGTATCTCAATGAAATCCACTTGCCAATCTTCATTCAGGATTTGTCCTTGGTATTGGACACCTGGCTTTCTTGACATATGATTTGGGGAGAGTTATTTTACTGGAAAGTCAAACAACATTGGACCACACTTCAGAGGGTTTTCTAATGCCTTCATTGACTGTGTGTTGTTCTTCCGGTCTCTCAGGACTCCTTGTGTAGGATGAATACACTGTACATCTTTGATTACCTGAGGCACCTGGGTCTATGAAAGGAAGAGTCTTCCATCTATGGTGCACAGCTACTTGCCATGGGGCACAAATTGCCCCTGGGATGCTGCACGACAATCATCTGGAGAGGATCCTAATTTTTCATGAAGTTTGGGTCAGGGTATATGTGGAATTACTGTTGGGCCTTTCGTCTAGGTTACTCTCCTAACTTCCGTATTGGCCATTGGATTGTCTGGCAATCGTTGTGTCACTTGTAATCAACAGGGTACTGTCACCACCTGTTTGGGTAGGCGGACTGTGTCTCGAAGCTGAAGGATAGGTTGAGCCTGCTTGACTCCTTCCTAGCTGAATTGGGTGGTGTAGTGGTTACTTGTTGGGCTGTGATCCATGTGGTCGGCAGTTGGAAACCACCAGCAGCTCCAGGGAAGAAAGACTGGGCTTTCTACTCCCATAAACGATTACAGTATCAGAAACCCACAGGGAGTTGCTATGAATCACCATTGACTCAATGGCAGTGAGTGGGTTTTGCCGCTACAGTTTACCATAAGCATGAAGAATTTTAAATAGTTTGTGAAAATTGACATTCATTTTCCTCTAAATGGGTGGTAGAGCTGAAGCAAAGCAGTAAGTTCAACTTTTTGTGCTGAAGTGCTTATGGGTAATGAATGCATTTGCCTCTAAAACTTCTGAGAGAGTTACAACAATATAATCCATCTTTCTCTGTGCTACTACACAAAACTTTCTGTCTTTGTATAATTCAAGTTCCAAATCAGGCAGAGGAAGATCACTTAAATCATGAAGCTTAACCAGAGTCATTGATTTCTGTGTCATTTTGCACAATGCACTGCTCAAGGACACTTGCGCAGACGAGTGATTGGTTGATGGTAACGGCTGGTAACATCAGGTTGTTTACGATCTTCCAGCTGACGGTAAGAACTGCGTGGTATCACCACGGATTGTGCACCGGGGCACTAACTGAAAGGCCAGCTGTTTAAACGCAGCAGCTGCTCTGAGGGAGAAAGATATGGGTTTCTTCTCGAGTTTTATAGCCTCCGAAAACCACAAGGACAGTTCTACTCTGGCTACAGGGTCTCTGTGAGTCAGAACCAGCTCAACGGTAGTGAGTTTGGTGTTTTAGTTTGGGTTATGAGGGCAGCCTGGTAAATGCATGAAACCTTTGCTCAAGGAGGGTTCTCACCAAGTGGGCTGTTTGTACCCACAGCAGCCAGGCCAGTGTGAGCTTTTCTGCCGACGTGATCAGCAGGTGGCACCGCTGTGGCCTTCAGGTCGGCAGCCAGCCCTTTTACTCACTCGGTCTGAAGTTCTAGAGAAAGAAGCTGCTTCCAGTTTCTCAGCTACTGATTCAATACTCTTGCCACAGTGCCCTAGAGTTCTTAATGACATAAATCAAAAGACTTAATGCATGTCTGGTAGTCCAAACGCCTCTAATGGAACCGCCTCCATGTGTTCAAAGAGCTTCAGTTGTTCTCTTTTAGTCCACTGCACTGGGGTCTATCTTTCCCTTCCAAAATGGACTATAAAGGTTTAGTAGGGAGGCCAACACTGGGGATCCGGCAAAAGCCTTCCAGTGCCTCCAAGTCCCTGTAGATAGTTGTGAATTGTGCATGGCACAAGGTAGCATAAGACTCTTGCCAGCCTCACGGGCGTTTACCTTGGCTTGCCTTGATCGAAAATCACAAATAAGTAACTTTTTTGTTGTTGGACAGATTAGATTTTGTTTCTAAACATGACAGCCAGATTCAATAGAAGTCTTAACGTCTCTGAAATGGTTTCTGTAGGGTCAAATTCATTTTCACCAGCCACTAACAGGTCATCAACATACTGCACAGGACTGTAAGAGCAAGACATTGTAATTCAACTGCCAAAGTAATCGCAGGGAGGCTGACCAAACTTTTGAACTGAGGAGGAATTGGCTACCTCTGCTGTTGTCTTCGTTGAGAGTGAAGGTCCTCCAATTTAATGGTGAAATTTAGAACTTTGTGGTTCATGAGCACACAGAAAAAGGTATCCTTGAGCTCTATCTAGAGTTAATGTTAAAACCAGAGTATAAGCTTAGCTAAAACGGGGCATGTTGTAGCAGTTACTTATTGATGGCTCTTCAGTCATACACAAGCCTGAAGGAGCCCCCTGTCCTGAGTCACGCTCACAACTAACCACAGGACGTCTTTTATTTGCCTTCAGGCTCTCTGAGCTCCTTTCCTGGAGCTCCTTCTCTGTTAAAGCCTGCATCCTGTCCCGACAGGGTGGTTGCAAGAACAGTAAACAGACAGCCTGCTTCAAACTTGCCTATTTTCCCTGGTAGCTCTGCTCTTTTTCCTGTCCTTCCCTCTGCTATTGTAAACTCTCAATGTTCTATAAAGCTCTTCTATGAAGCTCTTTCTGAATGTCTGCTGCACTTTGGTGTAAGATATGACAAAATAATAATAATTTGTAAATTATCAAGGGTTCATGCGAGAGGGAGTAGTTGGGAGGGAGGGGAAAAATGTGCTGACACTAAAGACTCAAGGAAAAAGCAAATGTTTTTGAGAATGATGATGGCAACATTGTGCTCGACACAATGGATGGATGTATGGATTGTGATAAGAGTTGTACAAGCCCCTAATAAAATGATTTTTTTAAAAGTAGCACTAACCATCTTATCATTCCCTGGGGATTCTCAGCCTCTATCAATATGTTGTCTGAATGCAGCAGAAATGCACTCCTCTGGGTCTTCATCCAGTTTCTGTAGGACTTCAGAAACTTAGTTTAAACTTTTGGGTACGGGTTCCCCATCCTTCAACCCCCTGAGCAAACAGTCAAGGTAAAGGACTAATTTGACATACTGACCAGGTTGATTTGAGCCCCACAGGGGAAAATGTCGGTCCCATCTGGATGACTGAGTTGAGCTGGTTGAGCCATGCAGGGCTAGTGCCTTGCTTCTTTGGCTTTGTCTAAAACCAGGTGTTGCTTCTCTGGGTAAACACAGCACCAAGCCCTGCCCAACGGTCACCTCAATTGGTGTCAAAAGAATGAAAAATCAAGATGAAAAGTTGACTGGGTCTTCTCTTCACCCATGAGCGTGGGGTTTCCTATTGTACAAGTTAACAGTCATAAAGGGGACACGAACTCTGAAAAGGACCCCTGGATGACATGGTATTGGAGCAGGGGTCAGCTGGACAGCGTCATGAGGAAGCTGTCATGAAGATGTCCCTATATGGCTCTGATCAGAACTAGTTGAATCTGGGCTGTGTAAGGGGCGGGGCATAGGGTGGGGGGGGGGCGTGGAAAAGATTCCCTGGTGAGTCTCCATGCTCTCCGGAGTGTGCCTTCCAGGGGTCTGCTGGTTCTACTGAGTACAGAAGTGGTGAATGGAGTCCATTCAAAGCATTATATGGATTCTCTCCTGCCAAGACAGGACACCGGGTCTGGACACAGATTTTATGTGATTCCTGAATTTACTTGTTATTGTACAAAGACATAAAGGCTTCAACTTAATCATCTCATCCCACTTCCCAACTGAGGAACAAGAGAGCTCTAATTGTAAAATGGTTTCATCATCTAAGGTTCATTTTTAGGCCCGCTGGGACCCCTGTAATTGATACTGTGGCCATGGAGCATCGCATAAAAGCATCGCTCTCTTCTTTTTTATAGAGCGATAACCAAAGCATTGCCAAATTTTAAGAACCCATCCTAAAGGAGAACACTCAAGTGGACTTTCTCTATTAGGTTCAACCAGAAACTCAAACAAGTTTAAAATCACAAAACAAAAATCAAACTGTGCCACTAGACATAAACACAAGTGCTAATGATCTAACACCTTACATTTCTGTGTGCTCAAACCCTGGACCCCAGGTGCTTGAGCACCAGCCGATTTTTCCTCCATGCACATTAGATCTTCAACAATCAGCTGCCCCTTTAGAACCCTTATTAAAGCTGCAAATCACAGAGATCCCAGAGAATCTCTTCCCTGACAAAAGAAGGTCTTACCTGACAATTCTGTGTTCCTCTTCTGCTTTTTGCAGCCCGCTGTTGTGCCAAACACAGCTCTTCACGGCCACCCAGGGCTCCTCTTGGAAATCCCAGGTGCCTGCTTGGTCATCCCCAAGCTGCTGGAGAGCCAGCACTTGGTACAGGGAGACAAAACTCCTGACTGGCTTAGCAGACACGTTAGTCACCCAGGTCTGAGTTCAACAAACACGGCCTTAATGAACGTGAAAGCCGTAAGCTTCGCTTCAGTCAATTCCTTGGAAGGATTAAGCCAGGACTAGAGTCACCAAGATCATCCCCAGAAAAGGATTTGCTCTTTTATACGTACCCACTAGGAAGTAAATAGAGGGAGCTATGAATATGCAACAGGTCTCCAAGGAATGGCCATGAATATGCAATGGGGCGGGGCTGCAATTCTTGGCAAAGAAACTGCTGGTCACAGTCCTTGCTTCTAAATGGCCAGGATCATCTGGTGACGACCTCTCAGTGGCTTTTATTCCTTTACAAACATTCGTTCATTCTGGGATTCACTGTAGGTTGTGACTATCCATTCTGGTCGGGTTCAGCAAGCCAGATTGGTTTGTACTGATGCTCACTGTAGTCGTATATATTCCCAGGAGGCAAAGGACTTATCAGGAGGGAAAAGGCATGAAAACAAGCTAATTCTAGACACTAGATGAGGTAAATGTTTCAACACCCTGTGGGGATACGTCTTCTACCCTAAGGATAGGTTCCTTAGGCAAGCTGCAGAATTCACAGCATTGCACAGGCTTGATCAGGTTGGGGGAGGGAGGGAGCGGAGTTCATTCCCTCCTCTTTCAATGGGCTCTTGTCATTATCCATTAACTATGGCTAGTACATCTAGCTAGATAGAGCCCTAATGACATAGTGGTTACAAATTGGGCTGTGATAAACAAAGTCTGCGGTTCAAAACCACCAGCTGCTCCAAGGGCTAAAGATGAGTTTTTCTCCCCTTGTAAAGAGTTACAGTCTCAGAAACCTAAGGGCAGTTTTACTGTGTCCTATAGGAGCTCTGGTGGCATAGTAGTTAACAATGGGCTGCTATCCTCAAGGTCAGCAGTTTGAGACCAGCAGCCTCTCCGAGGGAGAAAGGCTGGGCTTTCTCTTCCTGTGAATAGTTGCAGTCTCAGAAACTCACAGGGGCTGTTCTAGCCTGGCATAAAGGGTCATTATGATTTGGCATTGACTTTGATGTCAGTGAGTGAGCTGGGCAGACATCAGACGCAATCTGGCACTGATTTCACGGTGCAGGGAGGAGAAAGAATGGGATGTATATGGGAGAGATATACTCCGGAAGACACAAATTTAATTATATTGAAAAGTCAGGGCCCCAAAGCTAAAAATACTATTACGACTATGACTAGTCCTATCAGAGGGAAGAACTAAGCTAACATAGCTCCAGATATATTGGCTTATATTTTCTTGGTTGAACTTGTGTGCCCAGTCAGCATCCTGATCCATTTCTTAATAGTTATTTCTACTTCACCAGAGGAGTTGATGTGGGCACAACAGGAGTTGGCTATTGTACTGACTTCAAGTTGTCCTGCCAATAAAAAAAATTCTATCATCATAAACTACTTTTCAAAGAGAATTGCAACTGTGCTGTTGGGCCAAAGATATGTTCCTGTAAGCACTGCAGTAATTTGGTGGGTCTGGGTTAAATTATGCAGAGTAGCTTCATGATTAACAAAGCCATTCCATGTAACTAGAATCAAATGCCCCGGCACCCATATCCTCCCAAATCAGCCTTAAGGCTCCTTTAGATTAAAAAGAAGAAGAATGAGCTAAGTGTGTGTGCTATTGAAAACTTGAAGAGTGGAGTTTGAAAAATGAAAATAACCCAGCGTGCATTAGCCTTGCCGGTGCCTGGGAATGAGACAAAAGGGTGGTTCTACTTGACCTGACCTGGGGTCAGAGGTCTAGACCCAGAACTCCTAGGTAAAGGATTATACCCACAAATCCAAATAAAGGCTTTTATAGCACCAAAGGACTTGTGGTGGGGCTAGGGTAGCAAGTGACTGGTTAGCTTGAGTCAGTCAAATGTTGATGGTTCAGTTGTCTCCAGAGATGAATGGAAGGGTGCCACAGGGTTTGAGTGAAAGTAAAGTAAGCACACAGAGTGGGATCTATCTATAGGACACTGTTTACTTGCTTAGATCACTGTGCAATGGTGATTAGGGACTAAAGACTGGGAGGGTCTACAGGGGAATACCCTTCTGCAAATCAGTTCTTTGGAGAGAGGAGCCACGTTACCACATTTGTATATGTGCTGCCGAAGCGAGCACCACGTTACCACATTTGTCATGCTATCGGGCTTTCTAAGATAGGAACAAATGAATTTTCATCGGTTCGTGTTTTTCATCTTCACCTGACTTCACTGCGACACTCTTGACTTCACTATTTGACAGTTTGGCCTGAGGATATGGGCTGGATGAAGTCATTTCTCTAAGATGGACGTGAGCCATGGAGTACAGAGATCAAGGCTAGAGGTGGTGTAATGGTAAGTCAGTGAAAGCAAAGCTACACTTTCACGAGGAAATGTGCCCGGTCACTATCTAGGAAATGCAAGCCAAAACAACCATGAGACACCATCTAACACCCATGACTGTAGCCCAGTTTAAAAAAAACAACTGAGAACAACAAATGCTGGAGAAGGTGTGATAAGATTGGCACTCTTATTCACTGCTGGTTGACTTGTAAAGACAACAGCCACTGACGATTCCTGAAACAGATGGCAATTGAAATACCATATAACCCAGAAGCAATACCATTACTGGGCATATACCCCCAAAGAAATAAGAAAGAGATCCCCAAAGGACATATGCTCTCCCATGTTCATTGTAGCGGAGTTTACAACAGCAAGAAGTTGGAAACTGCCTAAATTCCCATCGCTAGAAGATTAGCTTAAAAAGAAAAACTCGTACATACACACAATGGAATACTATGCACCCCTGAAAAATAGCGACGAAACCCCTCAAGACGTGGAGGGATCTGGAAGACATTATGCTGAGTGAAGTTAGTCCATCACAAAAGGACAAATACCATACGAGTCTACTGCTGTAGGAACAAGCTGCAGGACAGGCACCAGCTCGGGCTTGTAGGACATCCAGTCTGCTGGCCAGGGCGGATGTAGGCAGCCTGGGAGAGAGCCTGACTGGTGCCAAGAAGCCATACACCCTCCGCTCTAGGTGTGTATTTTGAAGGTCACTTTGCAGAGGGCGCCTCATGTCAGCTGGGATCAAATGGGTAAGGGAGGGGGATGGGGATATAGAGAACCAGGGCAGTTGTCACTGCCAGGCCTTTAGTCTGAGCTGCTCTCCTTACCTTCATGTGGGCTTTGTGATTGCCCTTCTTTATAGTCCACAGTGTACTCCCACCACTGGTTTGGGGAAAGAGTACTATGCCTAGAAACTGAAGGATATGTTAAGCATATTTGACTCCTTTACCAGCCAAGTTTAAAAGTCACTGTTGCCTCTGTAGGAGCTTTGATGGGAGAGTAAGGTTAAGAGTCTGGCTGCAATTTGCAAGGTCAGCAGTTTGATTCCACCTCAGGAAAAATGTGGAGCTTTCTACTCCTGTAAGGAGTTACACTCTCAGAAAATCGCAAGGACGATTCTACTCTGTCCTGTAGAGTCCCTTTGAATCAGCATTGATTCAATGAGTTTGGTTTGGGTTTATCAGTTGCCTCCATAAAGAGCCCTGGTGCACAGTGATTACCCAGTAGGCTGCTAACCTCAAGGTCAGCAGTTAGAAAACACCAGTCACTCCTCAGGAGAAAGGTGAGGCTTTCTACTCCCATAAAGGGTTATAGACTTGGAAACCGCCTGGGTCCATTTCCAGGGGGGTCACTATGAGTCCGAAGCTACTTGAGGGCAGTGAGTTTAGTTTCGTTGTTTTAGTTGTCTCCAGGTCCATGAAGAATTCCAAAGAAATTATGTTAGTTGTGACAGTTGTCACTCATTTCCAGAGAGTTCAGTGAATAGTCTGAAGCACTGCAGTAACTGCAACTTTGTGTGCTGAAGTGCCTCTGGGGAATTGCATTTGCTTCTAAAACTTGGAGAGTTACAATCTAATCTGCTTCTCTTTGTGCTGTTTTACAAAACTGCATCCATCTATAATTCAAATTCTGAATCAGGCCAGAGGGAGATCTCTTAGAGCAGTGGTTCTCAAGCGTCCTAATGCCTCGACCCTTTGATACAGTTCCTCATGCTGTGGTGACCCCCAACCATCAGAAATATGCATTTCCCCATGGTCTTAGGTGACCCCTGTGAAAGGGTCATTCGACCCCCAAAGGGGTCAAGATCCGCAGGTTGAGAAATGCTGACTTCGACCATGAAGCATTCATAGAACCTTCGGGGCTGCAACAAAGCAGCAAGCCCTCCTCCACAGCACAGGAATGAGAGGAGGACCTTTCTGGAAAATCAAGTTCAGACCTGGGGAGGGGATCTTCTACATTTCAGAGGAGGCACTGATATTTCTGTGGGTGGGTGTGGTGAGTAAATGGGGAGGAGCAACCTCACATCAGGAAGGGAAGCTAAACAGTAATTGTAAGGAACCTTAGGGGAGAATAAACCCGATTTTATGTTCCTGAGTAGACACTATGAATATGTTTCTACCCAGGCCCCGGTGAACCACATCATGGACTGAGCACTATGATGGTCTTAGACGCTGGCCTTACAGGCAACATAGCATATCCCAAGGGCCACACCAGAAGCACTTAATGTAGAAATCCATGTAAATGAACTGAGCCTCAAAGCTGCCTGTACACTTGGACTTGGGACTGAAACCCTCTAATGGGAGAGAAAGCAGAGGATAGCTGCTCAAGACTGTGGAAATGGCAGTCACTGGCCCTTGGGCAGGACACCTGGCTTAGTGGGTGGCCAATGAAATGGGATCCAGACCACCATGTATTTCATACCTCAGTGCTCCCCTTGAATTAATATGCCAGCTTGTAATCTGATAGGCAAGATCTGTCCTTCTAAGAAATGATCCAGGAAAATGTCCCTTAGCACCAACCCCCATGCTCGGTGTAAACACAGCTCGGTCAATTACGAAATCAATCTGTA